CTTAAATGCCATGGAAATGTATATATTTTATTAAGTTTATTATGTTTGTTTTATTGGTTCATTGTTCTCCATGCATTTTAAAAAATAAAAAACAAATTAAAAATGTAGAGAATTTTTTTGAGGACCCCCAAGATACCTCTCGCGGACCCCAGTTTGAGAACCTCTGGTTTAAAGAGCTGGAGTGCAGTTGAATGTATATTTTCTTCTACTAATTGTTCCTAACTGACATGATATGTAAATATTAATAATACAACTATTTTGAATTTACTCAAATCTGAGGCATAGGAGCAATAATGAACTTATTTTTGGTGTATTTTAGCAGCACAGTTTCATGTGGCTCTAGCATTTAAGACTGTTAGACATTATATTATTATATAATTACGTGGTTCTTTTTTTACTTTTTTACTTTTTAATAACATATGTAAGTGATAATTTGTATTGTCACATTAAATTAATAATATAACTCCTACCTGCTGCAAAGTCAGATTAGAACTTAGTTTAAATGCAGTCAGATTCTCATTGCAGTGAGTCTTCAGATCAGGAAAAGTTGGGTTGGTAATCATGAAGGCCTGCTGATGTCACCTGATTGAAAAACCATGTTACAATCAACCTCCCAGATGAAACAAAAATAGTTATGGGTTATATCGATCATTGCTTTTTAAAATTTGTTTGTTTTTTTTCCCCTCAGCTCAAACTCTTCTAGGTGATTGGCTGGGCACTAAGTTACGTTTGGAGCTTGGGATGGATGATGAAGATGATCTGAGGTGTTCTGCTGTAAAGACACAACCTGCCTCTCCAGCTTCCCCACATCCAGCTGTCCACACCCCCAGCAACTTTGATGGTGCAGAAATTATTACTTAGTTAATCATTACTGTTTGTAATCATCTAGTTTGTAAATGACAACAGCTTATTTAGGAGTTTTATGTTAAACTGCATTACAGTAGACATGATTACAAAAGGCAATATGTAACTGTCTCTTTCATGTTTTTTGGGAAATATGTGTAGATCTGTATAACCGCCTGGCTGAAGAAGAAGAAAAATCTGCTGTTAACAGTTTCCTACAACATCTCATGGAGCAGGATCTGCTGGACTCTGGGACGATGGAGGAACTCTCACTCGATGGTGGAATCAGTAGGAAGTTCAGAAACCCGATCCTCACCATGGAAGCACGTCATCAGCAGGTATTTGACTAAAACGTGTGTCAGTTCCTCAGGTTGTAAAGTGTTAGAGCTGTGAGTCTGGACTGTGTCATGTTCTCGAGTAACACAAACTGTTGGCTGGGTACTGATGGAGGTGCGCGAGAACAGGGTGCGGCGGGAGGCCGAGAGGCAAAGACAGCAGAGGGAGGAGGCTGCAAAGCAGGAGGCCAGGAAGGAGGCGAAGAGGAGGGAGCAGGAGAAAGAGATGAAGAAGAAGAAGCTGGAGAAACAAAGAGAGGAGGAGTTGGTTCAGCAGGAGATGATCAGACTCCGACGTCAGATGGAGGAGAGGAGAGGCCGGGAGCAGCTCCTTCGACAGAGGCATGAACAACAAACAACTCTTATAACAACAACAAACAACTCTTATAACAACAACAAACAACTCTTATAACAACAACTATTATGACAACAAACAACTCTTATGACAACAAACAACTCTTATAACAACAACAAACAACTCTTGTAACAACAATAAACAACTCTTATAACAACAAACAACTCTTATAACAACAACAAACACCTCTTGTAACAACAATAAACAACTCTTATAACAACAACAAACAACTCTTGTAACAACAATAAACAACTCTTATAACAACAAACAACTCTTATAACAACAACAAACAACTCTTGTAACAACAATAAACAACTCTTATAACAACAACAAACAACTCTTATAACAACAACAAACAACTCTTATAACAACAACACTTGTCAAGTGGTCCGTCCGTCTGCCCATCCTTCCTTCCATCCATCCATCCATCCTTCCTTCCTTCCTTCCTTCCTTCCTTCCTTCCTTCCTTCCTTCCTTCCTTCCTTCCTTCCTTCCATCTATACATACATAAAAATGTTCTCATCAGTTGACATCTTAAAATCCTCAGGTTTTTCAACAGCAACCAAAAATAAAATCAAATGTTCTCTGCTTATTAAAGAACATCCAATCACGTCGGGGTCACCAAATTTTCAACAAAGTTGTGTTCAATAAATTTGGAAGTCTGAATAAAACAGCAGAAAACCAGTTGATTCTCTTGTAGAAGACTTTATTCTCAACCTGATTCCATACAGGCCCACAGCCACACAAGCAGCAGCACTGTGAGAGTGAAAAAAGGCCTTGGCCTAATCAGAACACAAACAATAACACAAACCCTCTCTACCTCTCTAGCAGCCGGCATCTATCCCAGGCTGATCTAAGAGAAGAAAGCATAATGATTAATGATGAGTCAACTACTTAAAGTAACGTTGTAGATCTGAAAACTGATCACGCCCCTGGAGRCGGTAACTTTTACGTCAGACATTAGAACGTAACCAACTTTGTTTATGTTACAAACAGAATGGAACACATTAATTAAACACACTGTCATTCTCTATTTAAAACATGTGGCTGCAATGATCAGAAAGTGTAAAATGCAAGACTGGATCTTAAATTCAGTTATCTAGTCACAAAATTTCCTTCACATCCATACATTCATCACTTTGTAGAAATGTGAGCTTTATTATATTTGTGAATATCGTTGCTAGATCAAGTAGCTGTTTATTTGAACGTTTGTTGTGCAGAGAAAGAGAAAAAGAAAAGAAGCGAGCAGACAGAAGCGTTCAGCCAACCCCAACACTTCTATCAAAGCAGCAGCAGGAAACAGAGCGACTCCACCGAGAGCAGCAGATTCAGGTGCAGATTCACATGAGGAACCTCAAGGTTGGTGCTCGCACTGTGCGTAACCTTTCAAGTGCTTTAATTCATATAAATGCATATGTGCTCGCGTTTTAGTGTCTGCACAGGCATTTTTCTGGGTGGTACATGGTGGTGATGGACCGAAGGTTGTGTCTGGGTAAGGCGGTGGTCCTCTGTGATTGGAGGAGGCAGCTGAAAGCGTGGCGAGCGTGGCGGACCGTGGTGTGGGCAGAGCGCGAGCGGCGGGAGGTGGCGAGAACAGAAGAGGCGCTGCGAATGGAAAACAGGCAAGAACCAAGATGTCCTGTAATGAGTTCTCTAACCTATCGGAGATTAAACTTGTGATCTTTTTTGGTAATTCCACCAGACAAATCCAGCTCGCCGTGGAGAGTGACAGAAGGCGATTGTTACGGCGATGTCTGAATGAGTGGCAGCTGTGCTGTCAGGTGGAGAAGGCCCAGCGGGAGCTTAGGGCTCGACAGCAGGAGACAAAACAAAAGATGGCTGCTTTACTCGCTGCTGCTTCCACAGGAAAACTCCTCAGGACCCCTGCTGATCAGCCAATCCCTGCCCCACCTGAACCTCCAAACCAATCAGAGGAGGTGACTGCTCAAAACTCAAAAACTCAAAACTGCAGCATAATTTTCAACAAAAACAACTATATAATTAAATTTTTATAAAGCTTCACAGCCATTACTAAAACATCAGCTCTGCTAGTGACAGGCCACGCTAAGGTCCGACTTACTGCAGCAAGAAACACAGTCAGAAAAGTAAACAAAATAACAATCCTTTCCCTTAGCATGGGACAACCTGAACCTTTCGCAGGATGTCAGTAAGAAGAAAACATTTCAGCTAAAATATTTACAACTCAAGAGAGAAGATGGGAAAAGAACAGAGGGGGCATGGAGCGTGTGGGAAGATTTTTTCTACATAGACTCATAGTCTGCCTGTAACTTTGACTTTTTGTCATTGACCTCCCTTTCCCCTGTGGATCCCATCCTTATGTTTACACCCAAAAGGGGGAGAAGGAGGGTCTTAAAGAACCAAGAAACAGAATTTAAAGTTAAGAGTTCTTGGTGGAAGGTCTAGAAAAGAGTTTTTGCATTAAAACTTCTGAATTATTAAAGCAGCACAAACTAAAAGTTAGGCTTCATTCCTTATTTAAAATACTGTATTTATTTCTGTGTTCCAGATGGATCATCCCAAGTTGAACACTTTAGCTCCTCGAGCCTTGGCGCTGCATCAGGATCAACCCCCTSTGAGTTTTGCGTCCCGACCCTCCCAGCCGTGGCAGGTGACCCGACGCCACGCAGCCCCCAGCGCCGCCGAGCTCCGCGAGGCGCGACAGAGAGCGGAGAGCGGCGCAAACAGAACGGCGCCACCGGCCGGCAGGTTGGAGAACAGACACGCCGTCCAGCAGCAGATCATCACGCAGCAACGGAAGCTGCTGAAGGAGCAGCAGGAGCAAATCTCCCGGCTGACGGAAAAGCAGAACATGTTGGGTTTGGAGCTGGAAATGGAGAAAACGGCTCAGCTTACCCAGCTATCGCTGCTGAAAGGCTCCAGACCAAAAGGCTGCAGCTTTGACCTGAAGGAGCAGAGGTTGGTTCACTGAACACAACAACAAATGAACAGCAGCTTAAAATATGAAAGCTGCATAAAACCAGTGGTTCCCAACTTATTTTCCTTAAAGCTCCCCTGTCTTACCTCCAAACCAAGCTGAGCCCCCCAATCCCTCGCTACTCCCCACCTCTACCAAAGACTCGTTCAACCTTTATTTCTTTATCTAAATGTAAGAAAATTCGTATTCAATAAACTGAAGTCGATATTAAAAACACAATTGTTAAATAAAATGATTTGTAGAAGGAATCAAACCATACAACACCAGAATTCTGGATCTGAGTGAGGTTTATCGTCACTCAAGCTGACAGGAAACCAACACTACCCAAAAACCAGGAAGTTCATATATACTTTTTTTTTTTTATATTGAAAGCTTTATACAAACCACAAGGCAGTGTAACAAATACGTATTCGAATACAAAATAAAGAGGCATAGGTGCAGAACAGATAACTTAAAGAGAAAAAAAACTATATATAAATAAATCATAACACTGAAAACGGGCAATTACAGGCTACAAAACAGCTAAATTATGTTCTTCAATAATGTTGAGAAGTTTCTTAGCTATAGGAGACACCATTATTTTAAGGGCTTTTACATAGAGTAGAAACTCRTTGATAAACACACAAAATTTAGGAGACATTTTCTTACATTTGGATTTSTGTATATATGATTTGGAAGTTCATATATACAGTATATACACCTTCTTCAATGCCTGCGTTCGCCCCCTACTGACCTACGGCTGAATCACAGGCATTCAGACAAAATCCTCAGCTACTGTCATCACAACGTTTGATTATGTGTTGTCACATACAGTATTTTGGACATGTAACTAATCTATATCAATCAAAACATAATAGATGAAACACTGTCAACATTACAAAAAGGAAAACCTAAGAATATAGTGTTGTGCTTTTAACATCAGTACTAACCTCTAATAACTTTAAATTTCTTCAATTCCCCTGTTCACATTACCAAATCCTGTGAATAAAAATGAGAAATTTATATTAAGCCATATGTTCGCATTAAGGCACAAATGTGTATGCAAATTACCCTAAGCGATACAGCACAACGTGGAAAATTTCTAACATCCCACCCCTGATATAAAGTAATATGATCCATTAATTCCACCCCAATCAAAAAAAACATAGAAAACATAAACTGAACTATTGTCAAATACCAACCAGGTCAGCTGTGTTTATTCTTTCGAGGCCAGAGGTTCCAGAACATGGCCTACCGTCTGGAACAAGTCCTCAGCACCRTTCCATCTCCCCCTGTCTTCCGTGGCAGACTGACCTGGTTACTAACAACATCCCTGCATATTAAGATTTAACCTTAGCTCATCAACAATTAAACCGTACAAAGAACAGTAAAAACAAATCAACCAAAATGCTAAAACAGTTCTAAACATATCCTGCTTAGTGTGTCACTTCTATAAAAAGAATTAATAATGAAAAACATAAAGGAAAATCAAAAAACATTTTACAAAAATCATTTACCATCGACTCGTTAACCTACAAATATGTCAGACTACGTGAGTGTAACTATTTCAGTATTATCATTCTATATCTAAAAATGTCAGCTAGAATTATCATTTTTAGGGCCTTGGTCTCCACATCAGTCGTCGTCTGCACCATATGGATATTGTAGTGGTGGCACTGGAGCTGCGTCCGTCGTCTGTACCATCTGGTACTCCATGGTGGGATGTTGGTGTAAGGTATTTCGAACAGTCCGGGAGATGGCCCTCAAGCAAAATATTCTAGCCACAGGGATGCCACAGAAACAGCAAAAACCTAGTATTACCACCGTCATCACTAATGGCATCACAATAGCAGACATCAGATTTTTCCAACCTCCAAAGATCTTCATTAACCATCCCTCCGTCTGTGTGGCAGCCCCTGAGAAATTGTTCATCTTCACAGACAAAGTTCGCAGACCTTTAACAGCCTTTGTAAATGACCCATCAGTTTCAGTATTTCCAGGAATAAAKGTACAACAAGCTGACCCAAAAAATGAACACACTCCACCTTGTTGTTTTTTGTTGTTCACATGCCAGTGGAGGAGACATTATAAAACTAAAAAATGTATTGTGAGTTTTATTATTTATCATTATTTTTATACACATCAGAACAAATGAAAAGACCATATTCATGTAAACAAGAAAAATACTGTACATAGTTTATGCTAAATTTCACAAAAACTGTTACAACTGAACTATTCAGGCATATTTTTTCCCATTCTTATTGTTGTGCATTTAAGTAAATAACAGGTTAGCATGAGCTAACATGTTTTACTTTTGGTATTAGTAGTGATTACATATTTGCATAGAAATTGATTTATTGTGAGTACAAAAACAAAATATATATATATTCTGCTATGTTTGGTCACATTTTCGAAGATCCACTGCAGAGGAACCAAAGTGCCACATGTGGCCCCAGAGCCTCAGGTTGCAGACCCCTGTGTTAGGTCAACAAAGATTTGATTACACCTGACAGACAAACTGTGGTCCGTAAAACAGTTTTATGTTCTTAGTGAACTCATTCATTCTGTTTGGGGTCAGGAGGTCATGACTGTCGAGAGCATAAAAGTCTAATTTTAAAAAAATTCACCAAATTCGGTCACCATTTAGAAATCTGGAGAGGCTTTTTGTGATGGTGACCTTTTCCAGTTTAAAATATGCAGATTGTTGTGTTCAGGTTCATGAATAAAATTCTTGTGATAGCCCTCAAACACTCCCAAAGATGATTTGCCTCTTCTATTTAGCACAAAACATTTAAAATATATATTTACTGAACCCCTAATCATTTAGACACGAGTTAAAGGAGACTTAATATCTAGTTTAGTATCCATATTTACTGTTTTCATGTTCTAAATTAATGTGATCTTTAAAAATATAAATAACATTTATTTTTCAAAACAAATACATAGAGCAGACCAAATACTGGAAAAAAGATTTAAAAAATGGTTTTAGTTTAAGTTTACATTTATATCTATGTATCTGACTGCTTTCTAAGGCGAAAAAACTTGACCCTAGTTTTAAATTTTTGACCAATTTTTTTTATTTTTTCAGTTTTGCCTTCAGAGTGAAAGTTGTCACGGGTAAATCAGGGTGATGTGAGCATGCAGACAGACGTATGACAGGTTTTGTTTCCTCTGGCTGTTATCACCTCTGTTGCAGAGCGCCGAGGGTTCCAGCAGCACCTGATAGTCAGAGTGCAACTTGGAGGAAAGCTGTCACGCGGCAGACGTGCCCCCATCCAGTGGTCACAGGTCAGTCTCAAAGCTCCCTCAGCCTGCGAGCTTAACGACAAAACTCAGAGAGAAGCAGAAGCTTTCACAGAAGGTGCTTCCAAAGAGTGTTACTGTAAAAATATGTTTTAAAAGTCAGAATATAGTGTGTATCTTTTACTTTTATGCAAATGCACCTGGCTGCTAAACAGAAGGGGGGAAATGTGCATAATAAAGATAAGTTATATACAYATTAACCCCAAGGCAGAATTATTGGTCACACCTCATTAAGGTTTACCTGTTAAAACTTTCAGAGAAGTGAAAGCCTCTGAATGTTTCTCACAGGCAACAAGGAGCTTCTTGTACCAAACAGATGGTTGTTTCTGTTAGCTGGAGCTCTTTAAAGTTGGCTGGATTTTTCCTTTCCGAGWCTTTCTGCTGACTTTTTCTTTGTGCAGTCTTTAGTAGTTGTTTTGTAGAATTAGAATTTGAACTTTAGCCTTTTAGTTTGGTGTCACTGGATAAAACATTTTTCTCTGAAATCCTTTGAATAATACGGAGCCCATCCAGTGATGAATTAGGCCTCCTGTTTAACACAAATATTATTTTGACATCTCTGACTTGCCAAATTTTTAAGCCAGTTTTATTGTCACTTTCATAGTTTTATCTTCAACTGCTTGTAATTTTAACTGTCTTAAGTGTGCATAGAAATGTTTTTTACCAGCTTGTAGCAAAGATTCTTATGTTTCTGTAGATACCAAACATGTCTATGTCTAACTAAAAGAACTTATAGTAATTAAAGAGGAAAACCGGGGGTTTGTGCTTAAGAGATGAATGAACCAATTGACGGGCCGAACTTTGGTCACTGGCCAGTTGAATAGCTCTGTCTTAGTGTGCAGCTTTAAGACACAAATGACCACTGGATTTGTATTTGTCCAAAAAACTTTATTTTAATGTTTGAAGTTCAACACTCAAAACAGGCTCCTCTCAGTCTGTGTCTTTGCTGTAGAAGCTGTYGGAGTTATGTTGCATTCAGGAGCACAGTGTTTCCTGACACACAYCTAGGATGTTCAGTGTCATCTCGTGAATAGGCTGAAAGATGAACYGTCCGTTTAGATTACACATACACCAAAATTTTAATGATAATAAACATGGGGTATCTTTTAAACAGTTAAACACAAAGCAATATATAAACGCACTCAAACGATGTCTCTCACAAAGCGAAGGCTGCTCAACATTATCTCATGACCACGAGGTAATAACAGAAGCCTGGTAATCAACCATTTATTCAAGTCAGGTGTGTTGGAGCAGACAGACCTCTAAAACATGCAGCCTAAAGACTGTTTACACTATATTTAAACTGAATTTACTACAATAATAGTTAGGGTTGTTGGAAAAATGATCAAACATGACTATATGAGTATTACAGCTGCAGCGATATCTTAATAATTGAAGGTGTGGAGGTGCATGTGTGTGTTGTCTGATGTTGATTAGCTGTGGCAGGCATCTTTGAGCTGATTTGGCTCCAAAAGTGAATCAGTTTTATGTCCAGGGACTATTTGAGAGTAAATATTATACAGCTGACTCCAACAGGTAATGTCTTRAAATCAGATCTTACAGGATCAGCTACAGAAATGCTACATTTTAGCTAAATATCGCTAAAATTGACTGAATTATAGCTATTTTTTGTGTTTTATTAATGCTGCTTAGCTGTGGCRGCCATCTTGAATGGGCTGAGTGCAAGAGTTAATCAGCTGTAGCGTCAAATGATTATTTTCTGAGCATTGCATCCAAATCCATCGACCGTTTCATGAGATATTTGGCTAATGCTGCAGATAAACAAACACGCAGACACGGGCAAAAACTAGGGGTGTCCTGATGCTGTTTTTTTCTCWAACCAAATATGAGTACTTCATTTTGAGTACTCAAAGATACAGAGTACTTACTGAGTTAGTATTTAAACAGAAGACATTTMTTTTATTCAGAACAAGGTGGCTCCCCTTCCTTATTGGCCTACAGCCCCTCTGACTGGATCAAATCAAACACACGGCATGTTGCAACATTTTAAAATAAATATAAACAAAGTATGAGTACTTGTTAAATTCTGGTATCGAGACACCACCAGCAATAATATTATCAGTTAACCCTGAAGGCAAAAGAGCCTCACATGAACAAGCTCCCTGGTAAATTTCAGATTTGATCCAGCTTCACACACCATCTCAGTTTGAGGTCATCAGGTCAGAGGTTGTTGGTGGTCCCCCGCACCCATTTTAAATCCCGAAGGGATCGGTCTTTCCAAGCAGCTGCACCCCACATCTGGAATGCACCGCTCCAATCTGTACTTGATTCTATTGGTGCTTTTAGAAAGCATCTGAAGACTTTCTTTTACAAACGGCTTTTAGCCAAGTTGTTTTTTCTACCTGTTTTTTTACCTGTGCTTTTTTTTAAGAATTTAGTGCTTTTATGATGCTTTTAAATTAATTTAATTTTTTCATGCTTTTATTCGGAAACATTTTGTGATTTTTATATCTATGAAATGTGCTATATAAACAAACTTTAYTTACTTAAAAGGGCATCGAGGTGTGGACAGATGGAATAAACTCTCAGCATTTCCACGATCATAACGTCTCTAATCCAGCTTTGGTCTGTTTCTTTCTCTCTTAATTAAAGAGTCAGTTTGATTAATTGAAAAGGCAAACGTCCAATAAAAACTAATTGTCTCCACTTCAAACACAGAATCTAAAAGGTGAACTTCTCTCGTTCTGTACCCGACAGCAGACAAACAGCTTCATCCTGTGTTGAGCAAACCATCTGTAGCAAACTTGATGCTTTCATAAATAAATCAATTAAGTCCTGCAGCTGCTCCAAACTTGACCCCATTAATACTGATCTCACACTGCGGTGGGAGAAACAAACGAACCACTTTGTCTTCAGTCTCATTCAGTTGGAAGAGGATTGATTATTTTACAATATCAACTGACCTTTGACCTTTTTCAAACGGTTCTACAGCATCTCCCCACACATCCATACATTGATTTTTTTGCAAGTTTTGTTATTATTCATGCGGTTGCTGAGATGTTTTTCTCACAACCACATGAACCCAACGGCAAAAATGTTCTTTGAACAGTTGCCTTTTGGCAGCAGGTGATAAACTCTGATCATTKCCCAGACTTTGCTTCAAGAACTCAATAATTTGATTCTTATCCACACAGGGTCCCTCGTAAATGCCTACTGGTGGTGCATAAAGGGATAAATTGTATTCCCACATAGTTTTTCTGTTGGTTACAGGGTCTTTGATGACTTTGAAACGGTTTAGTTATTTTACCAACAGCGTTCTGACATGTCTGCTCTGTCTCTCTGAAGCCATGGAAGCCCGAGYTCGACAGCGCGCAGAGCGGAGGAAGGAGATCGAGGAACTCAAGAGAAAGAAAGAAGAAGACAGGCTGGTGAGCCACGATTACGCCTTGAGGCTTTCAAACGTGGACGGTAGCACAAACGCGCGCTGTTAAAATGGAAACCCTTTTAGGCCGAGATGAAGGCCGCCGTGGAGCGGAGGTGGAGGGAGGAAGAGGAGGAGAAACGCRAGGCGGCGGAGAAGAGACGGGAGGAGAAGAGGCGGGAGAGAGAGGTGAGGCACGGCGACTCATGCGTGATGGCGTGGTCTCTGGTTAAAACACTGTCTGTGCAGAGGGAGGAGGAGAAGCTGAGGCAGCAGAAACAACAGCAGGAGCTCACCAGGCTGGCCCGTCAGCATCGCCACAGAACCTTGTTGTCACATCGAGGCCTGGCGCCCTGGAAACGTCTCATTCAGCTAAGACGAGACAACATGCAGGTAAATCACCTGTTTATTGCAGCTGTCAGCCAACAGCTCACACCCAGTAAATTTTGCAGTGTTAAATCAACACTTAAAGAGTTAAATTTAACACTGTGTCCCAGTCTATTTGGTCCTTATCGGAAATGGTGTCAATTTAACTCTTTCCATAGTGTTTCAGAGTACAGTTTAACTCCAAACAAAGTTAAAAATTAACACTGACTAACACTGTACAGTGTTAATAAAACTTAACACTCCAAGTCAAATAACTCTGATCAGAGTAATTATGATTCTACTCCACTGTGGTGACTAATCACTTCTGATTCTCATGCTTTTCAACACGGCATTGAGTTATTGGTGGTTAACACTGGAGGTTCATACCTCCTATGAGTGTTAATTCGACACTCTACTGTGTTGATTACTCTTCTGCTGTGTAGAGTGGTGTAAAACAGACACTGAGGTGTCAGTGTAAATTTAAAACTTTAGAGTTAAGATMAACTCTTTTTAGTGTTGCACTAACATTACACAGTAATTTCAGGATAAGTGTAATGGAGTYGACCTTCACACACCAGGAAGTACCTCTCACTCATGGTGTTGATTTCTGGCTAATAACAAACTTAAAATTTATCTTACCCCCCCACCCCCCTGTGAAAAGATAACTCCGCCCCAAGGCGAAATTTGAAAAATGCATCAAAGTGGGTAGGGGAGGGAGGGGGGTTAGAGAGCGGAGGTGTGGCCAGGAGAGAGAACACGACAGCTAGCATTAGCATAATTGATGCTACATGCAGAG